GTTGTCCCCCACAGCTGCCCTTAGGCCTCGGGACCCCTGCCCAGCCGTGGCTCTGGGGGACCCAGAGCCCCATACTTCTCATTAATCATTGGGGTGCCCTGGGGGCAGTCGATGAGTGGCTTGAGCTGGAAGACATCGAGGCTCTCCTGGTTCCGGTGGTTGTAGATGCTGAGCCTGTGGCCCAGGTCAGGGCTGGCACCCACTGAGTCTGCTGGGCTGGGCAGCTTCAGGTTGACGGGATCCAGCCCCTTCTGTGCCAGGCAGGCCTCTTCCGACAGGGACGACAGCAGCTCCTGCACCACAGCGTGGGTCACCTGTGGCCGGACGGGCACAAGGTCAGCCCGTGGGCCGGCACTGGCCTCCGCAGCGTCTTCGCAGGCTGTGCTGCAGTCTGGGGAAGAGCCCAGTGTCTGGCTGCTCTTGCTGCAGGCCTGGGTGCCTGAGCTGACAGTTGACCGCGAGGCACTGCCTGATGTGACACTGGCGGATGTCCTGGTACTGCCCAGGCGCACTGGCACCTCCACTGTGAAGAGGTCAGAGGAGATGTTGGGGCGATGGACATCGATGGCAGCAGTGGTGACCACACAGATGGCGGCCTCAGGAACACCGCTGTCTGCAGGGGACAGAGCAGAGAGATGCAGTTGAGAGGCCAGCGGGACAGGGACTGTGTCAGGGTGAGGGTTTGTGTGTGCAGGACAGTCTGTATGTGACTGTAGGTGACGGTGTACACGTGTCTGTGTGGGCACGTGCAGGAACGAGTGCATGAGTGCACATCTGCCCATGAGTGCGCGTTTGCACCTTTGTCCATGAGTGTGCGAGTGCCTGGCCCTGAGTGTACCTTTGTGTGTTTGTGTGCATGTGACGCATGTGTATCTGCCTGGATCGAGTTGTATGTATACAAAATAACTATACATACAGCACACATCCCCCTTTAATTATATTTTTTTTTACATACACATGTATAGATACACACATCTTTATGGAGAGAGATACTGCACATATATAGATACATATATATATAATAATACCATATACCTCCAGCTGTGTACATATAGAAAATAGAAATACACATATATACCCTATGTATATGAAGAAAGGTTGTATATAACATAATATACATGTATGAAAATACATCTACGTATGAACATCTATCTACCTCCAAACCCTTTAACAACTATTAAAAAGCTATATAATCTCCCCCTATGTCTAGATACAATTTAAAAAAAAAAATATATATATACATACACACACACACACACACATATCTTCCTGTATATAATGAGGATGTATAGAGAGGACTATTACTATATAAATAATATTGCATACATCTGTGTATGTGTACACACATACTTTCTCACACATATTATACATTTTTTAAATATAGATATAAGCGTTATATATAGCCTTATGTGTATACATACTGGGGAAATGTGCATGTGGAGCTCCATATATATTGCACCTCTATAGAAGCACAGCAGGACACACACATACACACCCTCTCTCTCTAGTACATAGCTCCCCTTTAAATACAGCTACTTACCTGTCAGCAACTGGAATACACTAATGCTCTCACAACCCCTCTTCTCTATACTTATATATCTATAGTGTGTGTGTGTGTGTCTGTGTATTTACAGATGGGGAATGGATATGGAATGGATATAAAAGGAAGAATATACATACACCATACATTGTACTTACACATGAACACGCCCTCTTTGGTTATATATCACTTTTATATATAATAGGAATGTAAATACCATATACCTATAGATACGTGCACAGAGTATATACTACTGTGTAGGTAGATACACACAGGCGTTCACACACAGAACCATAATTCTTTATCGTTTACATGTATATATGTAAGGAACTGCATACATACCACATTATACCTAAATCTATACACACGATACATACTACATAGTCCCCCCTTTAAACACATGTAATTGGCTACCATTAAAACAGAATACAAACATATATATGTACAGACACATTCACATGGGGAGTGTATATATAGGGATATATACATACACACATAGGTATATATATATACACACACCATCATACCTATACATGAACACCCCCTCCTTTATTTATACAGCTTTTAAATTATATACAGATTAGATATATACACCTTTTTTTATGTATCTCCATATGTATATAATGGGGATGTATATACAGGGATATATGCCTATAAATAACACTCTACACTTGTATATATATGCATACATACATAAAATACATAGGTGTATATACACAGTCTCACACACCCCCTCATTTTATATACACTGAATCTTTACATACAGCTTTATCCATATAGATGTGGAGAATATATGTGTATATATGAGACCCATATATAATACTTTATACCCGTGTTTGTACATTTTTAATATACATATACACACATTTGTACACTATACAGTATGCAATTCCTCTTTCCAATACATATAATTATCAGTAAACAGAACACACACACATACAATCTATATAATAGATTATACCTATACATTAACCCCCCTTTATATTGCTATATACAAACACCAATAAATAATACCATATACCTATATACGCGTGTGCACACATATTCTATACACTATATATATAACGTGTGTGTCATTCTCCCTCTCTCTCTCTCCCACACATACTTTATATACACATATATAGATTTATCTATGTAAATATATAGAGGTGCCTGTGTATAAGGAGCCCCGTATATAATAGTGTACACACTTATCTACACACAGACATTTGATATATCTATATAATACATAGTCCCCCTTTAAATACATATAATTGTCTATCTTTAAAGAGAATACAGATGTGCATGTGCTCTCACACATGTATACTTACCTTTATACTTTTTTTTCTCCTCACTCTGTGCACATACATGGGGAATGTATGTATAAGGATATACATATATGATACATTATACCTACACTTGAGCACGCACACACATATCCCTATTCTATGTAATACCTGTTATACATATAAAATTCTACGTATACACACACCCACCACCTTTTTAGGTATGTCAATATATGTTATGGGGATGTACATCTATGTATCTAATAATACCATACACCTGTCTCTGTGTGTCTATATATATGCATAGTATATAAAATAAACAGGCATATATAGACAGTCTTTCTCACACACACCTATTTTATATACATATAATCATTATATATAGATATATATCCCTACATATATGTGTGTATCTGCCCCATATGTAGTACATAATATATATATTATGCTTACCTTTATATATAAGTAAATATATATTTATATCTCACTGTGTGTGTACACATGGGGAATGTATATGCAGGGATATATACACATATAATACATTACAGCTATACATGAAGACACACAGTTATAAACTTATACGTATATACACAGACATGGTTCCTCACACCTCCCCTCTGTTTCATATGTCTATCTTTTTAATTAGACATACACTTATGTAGAGATTCATACATCTTAAGATATAGCCATGTATAGAGGGATATGCACAAATAAAAACAATACTGTATAACCTATATGTGTATGCGCATAAAAAATTTTTTATAGAGACACAGAGTTTATATGTGTGGTCTCACACACATATACAGATTTTTTATATACACATATACATATCTTTCTATATACATTTATCCATCTTTCTAGAGAGAATGCCTCTCTGTGTGTGTATACATAAATAACCCATTTGTAATAAGCACACACATTGTATATGTATTACATAAAATACATCCTACTGAGATGTGTAAAATGCACTCCCCTGTATTCTCCTTATGGAATACATGAAGCACGTACATCCATGTGCAGGCTGTCCTGCGCTGTCCCGGTGTGGGAGCAGAACGCCGAGGAGATCCCCACGCTGTGCTCTCCTCCTTGCTCAGGAGCGAAGGGGGTCGCAGCGCTCGCTCTCTCTGGCAGGGGTGTGCTGGGGTGAGCAATGGCAGCGTGCGGCCCTCGGCTGGACCCTCCATTAGTGCTGCCCTGCACTAGCGTCACCGGTGCCATTAGCGCTGCCCCGCACCAGCGTTACCATTAGCGCTGCCCTGCACCAGCGTTACCGGTGCCATTAGTGCTGCCCAGCACCAGCGTCACCGGTGCCATTAGTGCTGCCCAGCACCAGCGTCACCGGTGCGATTAGCGCTGCCCCACACCAGCGTTACCATTAGCGCTGCCCTGCACCAGTGTTACCAGTGCCATTAGCACTGCCCAGCACCAGC